AACTGCCGTTTATCTAATCAATAAAATGCCCACTCCCGTCTTATCTGATAAATCTCCTCACTATCTTTTGCATCGGTTTCCCCCATCTTATGCATATCTGCGTGTTTTTGGGTGTTTATGCTTTCCAAATCTGCGTCCCTATAATCGCAACAAACTACAATTTCGGTCATCCCCTTGTGTCTTTCTAGGATATCCTCCATCTTTTCGTGGCTATCGTTGTTTAGACACTAACACTAACAAGGTTTTTATCTGTCGCCATGTGCGATTCGATGAGGCTGTCTTTCCTTTTGTTGCTTCTGTGGATTCGCAGGTTCCAAAACCACGCCCGGAGCCGTGGGGTGTTGCACCAATTGTTTCTAGTGGTGATCCGACTATTGTCACGGCTCGTGACCCTCCTGTCGCGCCCATAGCCGCTTATGACCACCACCGCCAGCAGTCTGCTACTGCCGAGCCCGTGACTGAGTCCGAGCGGACAGTCACGGACCAGCCGGTTCCTCGGCCAAGAGGCTGGCCTCATGGTTAGTCTCGTCACGCGCCCTCGGGACCACATGATCATGTTGCTTTATCTGCTGCTGCTGTTACTCCTGAACCTACATGTTTTACTCAAGCGGTTAAATTTCCTGAATGGCGGGATGCAATGGATTTGGAATTTAATGCTTTGGTGCACAACAATACATGGAGGCTTGTTCCCTTTAAATCAGGTATGAATGTAGTTGGATGTAAGTGGGTGTTTAGAACCAAGAGAAAGGCTGATGGTTTGATTGAGTGTTACAAGGCTCGGTTAGTTGCCAAGGGATTCAATCAAATTGCCGGCGAGGATTTCTTTGAGACCTTTAGTCCCGTTGTTAAACCGACTACGGTACGTCTTCTTTTATCCTTAGCTATTTCTTGTGGATGGACTATTCGACAGTTGGACATACACAATGCTTTTCTAAATGGCAATCTCGCTGAGACGGTTTATATGCGCTAGCCCCCTGGTTATGAAGACAAAACGATGCCCGGGCACGTTTGTCTCCTTCAATGTTCTTTATATGGGTTTAAGCAAGCTCCCTGTGCTTGGTTCACTCGTTTGCATGATTTTCTGGTTTCTGCTGATTTCTCACCTTCCAAGACGGATGTCTCTTTATTTATATATTCACATTGAAATACTCGTTTATATTTTCTGGTTTATGTGGATGATATTTTGGTTATGGGATCTGATCCGGCTCATGTGACTGCTCTTATTGACAAGTTGGCTCTTGAGTTTAAAGTTCGTGATATGGGTGTGCCCTCGTTCTTTCTAGGTATTGAGACCATTCCGTTGTCTGATGGCATGCTTATGTCTCAACAACGGTACATGAAGGATATTCTAAAACGAGTAGGTATGGTTGATTGCAAGCACGTGGCTACTCCGGTTTCAACCACGAAGGCCAAGATTGATGCCGTGGTACCATACGCTGATCCCACTCAGTATCGCAGCTTTGCAGGTGCTCTGCAATAACTTATGGTAACTCGGCCTGATCTTTGCTATGCAGTCAATCGTTTGTGTCAACACATGCACTCTTCCTCTACTGCGGATTGGGCGGCTCTCAAGAGGGTGTTACGGTATGTAAATGGAACACTACATCTTGGTCTTAAGATTACGTCTTCTCATTCTCTAGATATTCATGCATATTCTGATTCGGATTGGGCTGGCAATCCTGATGATCGCAAATCTACTAGGGGTTTTGCTGTATTTTTGGGGACTAATCTTGTCTCATGGGTTTGTCGAAAACAACGTACTGTGGCTCGTTCATCAACTGAGGATGAATACAAAGGACTGGCTGATGTCTTTGCAGAGGTTACTTGGCTCGTCTCTCTGATGAAGGAAATCGGGTTTGCGCCACCTTCTGTGCCCAAACTCTGGTGTGACAATCTGGGAGCTACTTATCTGTGTGCTAATCCGGTGTTTCATGCTCGCACCAAGCACATTGAGATCGACTATCACTTTGTTCGTGATAAAGTCGGGAAGAAGGAATTACAAGTCAATTTTATTTCTACCAAAGATCAGATAGCGAATATTTTTACTAAGTCTCTTTCGTCTGTACGTTTTAATTTACTCCGTTGCAAATTCAATGTTTTGACTGACCAACCTTGTGCTTGAGCGGAGTATTAATTAGGACTATTAGGACTCTATTATCCATATTAGACTAGGACTATATTATTCGTGTTAGACTAGGATTCTATCTAGCATCTCTATATATTCGCTTCCTGTACTCTAAGACATTATTATTAAATACAACACAATTATATTCTCATCATTCGATTGCTTCGGTCACACACATAATAGAATATATCTTCAGTAATTTAGTAGTATGATATGATATTATCGGTGACAAAAATAGGTAGTTATCATCAATTCGATCTAAGCTGAGAAAGCTCTGGAACGTTAAAAGTTGGTGGACATGCTTTTAATTGAACTCATGGCAAAGTACAAATGGGATGACCCGCCACCCCACCATGATGCCCATTTGCTGCTGCCTTGCTTGCTTCCACTTGGAGTAAAACCAAAGGGGCCTTAAACCCATCTTAAACAATGCCCTTTATAGTAAAACCATTGGATAAAAAAGACTGATCTTGACTGGCCTGCTTGCCCCCACCTCTTCAACCCCATTCTTTATTGCAATGCCTGACCTAACAAAGACGAAATCAGTCGTCCCAAGGCTCAAGACGTTATGCCATGGAACCGTGTTCACCATTATGGTGAACACGGTTCCAACGGTGTTAGTACACCGTTATCTTTTTTTTTTTTTTTTTTTTTTTTTTTTTTTTTTAATTAATTGCGTGATTTTTCTTCTTTATTTTCACATTTTGCGGTTTCACTTTAATTTGAGGTGAACAAAGATTTCGGACATTCATAAATTGTGAATTCATGCCTGCACATTCACTTTGGAACCATGCCTACACATTTCCGTCCGAAATCACGGACATTTATAAATTATGAATCCATGCCTGCACATTCACTTTGGAACCATGCCTACGCATTCACTTTGGAACCATGAGATTATGAATTTTCTGTTATAAGATTATGAATTTTCAGTTATGAGATTATGAATTTTCTGTTATGCGATTATGAATTTTCTGTTATGAGATTATGAATTTTCATTACATTCATAATTTCGGACATTCATAAATTATGAATTCATGCCTGCACATTCACTTTGGAGCCATGCCTACATATTCCCGTCCGAAGTCACGGACATTCATAAATTATGAATCCATGCCTGCACATTCACTTTGGAACCATGCCTACACATTCACTTTGGAACCATGAGATTATGAATTTTCTGTTATGCGATTATGAATTTTCTGTTATGCGATTATGAATTTTCATAAAATTCATAATCTCATAACAGAAAATTCATAATTTGATCAAACCCGCGCCGTTAACTGCACATCCACAATTTTTTTTTTTTTTTTTGCCTAAAAACGACGTCGTTTTGCCTTGTGTTCACCATTCTCGGTGAACACGATTCCATGGCATAATTTGCGCCAAGGCTCTTACACTCTGCCTAACATAATGAAAAATGAATTAAATTTCATTTTTAATTGAATGTAACTCTCACCGTCGCTAACTAGTGCCTACAAGGAGTCCACCACACTGCTCACTCCAGCTGTCTGGTCTCGGTCCTGTGTTCTTGCTCACAACATACTCTTGAGTACCGTTCGTGAGAGTTTCTTGAATTGATTGCAATGCCAATTCAAAAATAATTGCAGCAATTATAGTGTGTCAAACAAATATTATGGTGGTGTTTGGTAAATAACTGTTAGCTGATTGGGTTATTGAGTTTGACTAGTTGATAGTATTAACTGATTGTAAAAAAGTGTTTGGTAAATAAGCTGTTACCTGATAGCTAATTACATGCAAAATTACTTTCTGAGAAAGTTGATTTTTTGAATTTTAGAATTTTGAACTAATAAACTATTACAAAAAGCTAATTTCCAACACTCATATTGATTTGTTTAACTAAGTCAAATAACTAATAGTAATCAAATAAAATAAAATTGATTGATAAGCTAACTATGTTACCAAATAATGAAAGTTTTAGTCTATGATATGCATGATTCTCATCTCATCTCAATTATTAGACAAGATCGCCAGCCTGAAACCAAGGTTTACAGCTTTCATCCATAAGTGAAACAGTGAAAAAGAAGACACTCTCATCAAGCCACAAGTCAATTAGCAGTGGGGGATATTGGGGAAACTCTCTCATCACACAAGTCTTTTTTGCATGGGGGACGGTGGAGAATGAGATTCTAGTTTGCACAGACAAATTAGTCTGTGGACCTGAGTTTAAAAATACACAATTTACATACTAATATTTTCAATTTATCTTTTAATAATTCACAATTTGTGATGATCCTGTATTGTATTCACAAATTTTTAAAATTTAGAAACACAATTTATATTTTGGATGTTCACAATTTCAATACTAAAAATACACAATTTAAGACTATGGTCCAGCTTGCAAGGTGGGCCTAGATCCATGATATAAAAGTAGGGATATTATAGACATATGTAATATGTTTTTCCTATAAATAGAGACATTGCACTATGGTTATGTATGTACCTTAATCCCGCACATCAGAATGCAATCTTTGATTCTTATGTTATTATATTATGTGATAATCCTTATATTTGAATTAGTTTTTGGGTTGATCTCTAAGTCAAAAAATATAGTTCCATCGAATTCAAATCTCATAACATTGAAAGAAGTGTTGAGATAAAGTTGGATAATAGGTGTAGATATTTGCATACTAACTAGTAACTAGAAATGACTAAAACCTGCAGGGTGGTGCCTAAAACCAGGGGTCTTCCCCACATAGTTTTCAACTGAAATGATTAATCTGCCATCTCAAAGGTGGCATATATGACTCTTCACTTCACATCACTTGCAGGGTCCATACATTTCAGAGAAATGATCATTTCTGGAGAAAAAAAAGTGTTGAGTGTGTGTAGCATATAATTTTGCAGCAGCAAATTAAAGAGTTGAGATTTTGAATAGTTGATTGCATTAGGAAGCATGATATGAGACAGACTTACAGATAAGATGAGTGCATATATGATAATTCATCGAAATTGCTACTAACTTAACTTATAAAACCACAAGGTGCAAAACAGCTAGCGGGGAGTGGGATGCAAATTAAACCACAAAGAATAACAAGACAAGATGGTTATGCATTATGTGGAACCCGAACCACCTAAGCAGAGACGACTCTCATCCATTATATGATTACCAATCACACTGGGTGTAGGCCTAAGTTGAGCACGAAACTTATTCCCGTGGCTGCCAGCTTTCAAAGGGGGCAACCAGGCCATGGCAAGGAGTGTATTGCTGCAATAAATTAAAGAAGAAAAAGTGATTTTGGAAAGCAATGACAGTGAAAAGAATGATTCCATTCAGAGGGTTACGTTGTTTGTTATTTCAAATCTAATGGAAATTAAAGCAAAGCTCAGATCAATAGCTGCAGCTAGACTGACTATATAAACGAATTGAAATCCCAGTCCAAAAAGCGGGGACAGTATGTATAGTACCTCCATCTTGTTTAAGAGCTCTCTGGCACTGGGAGCAGACAGCACAATGTGGCGAGCAACTGGCTTGATGAAACCTTCCTCAACCCCGTTGTCAAATAATGCCAGCAAAGAATTGTAGTACCCATCGACGTTGAGCAAACCAACCTGCAATATCATATCCACTTATATTCTCTTTCAACCCCATATAGCCAATTTATTATACATAATTATTATTTTACCGGTTTTTTATGAATCCCAAGTTGTGCCCACGTTATCATTTCCAACAACTCTTCCATGGTTCCATATCCTCCTAAACATTTCATGGAGCGGAGGAGGGAAACATATTAAGACATATGTATCTATCTCAATTCTCAAAGCAGATGATAGATGCTCTGTTATGTTACCTGGAAGTGCTATAAACGCATCTGCCTCCCGAGCCATTTCAGCTTTACGCTCATGCATATCAGAAACGATTCTCACATCCCCAACACTTCCACCCGATATCTGTCAATACTAATGTTAACAACGATTTTAACTGAAACTGGTAAACAAAATTACTACATTTTTACATTATTATGTTCGATCCGATCCAGAACAATACACCATAATTTCCCGCCCTCTAATCATCTTCATTCAATCTTCAACAAAAAATTGAATGCCAATAAACCACATGCAATTCCAAAAACTAGAACCAAAGAAGATAATCATCACAGAAGAATTGAAGCCTCAGCTCATTCAATTCGTTATCTATATACCATTTCCATCATTTCTATACAATATAATGAAGATTATGTCTCAAACATGCTTACCTCAACAGGCACCAGTGCTTTAGGCATGACCCTGCATGTAAAAATCGAGTGAAATTCTAGAATAAATCAGAGATAGATAGATACCAACACTGCACAATCGAAGATTAAAAATTCCAAAAAGGTGTTAGATAGATGATAGTTACCCAAGAACATGACACCCTCCATCAAAGACTCTTTTAGAAATCAAACCCATCAAACCTATACTTCCACCACCATAGACCAAGTCTATCTTCCTACTTACCTGCACCCAACATTCACAAATTAAAGTCAAAATCATAATCTACAAACTTAACTTTTAACAATTAACTCATTTTCACTATATATATATATATAAACAAAGTTCAGACAAGGTACACAAATTATTAAAGAAATGAATCTTTCTCAGAGGCCAAAACCCAAACCCAAAAATTTTGCAGGCTTGGAAATGGAAATGGAAACCCCATACTACTTAACATTGACCAACCAATTCATTTCCCAACTCAACAGCAGCATCACTGAAGACTTTTCTGTGGCCTGAGTTGCTTCCACAGAACACACAAATTCTCCTGAAATTGCTTCTTCTATTATTGCCCTCCATTCAACTCTCTCACAATTCAATCCCTCCCTCCCTCAAGAAAACAGTAAAAAGCTTTCACTTTTTTTTTTTTTTTTTTTTTTTTTTTTTTTTTTTTTTTTTTGAGTTTGAGCACAATCTTTCTATATTTCAGTGCATATTTAATATGATATTTGGGGAGTGTGTGAAAAGAAAGAATTTTTTTTTAGAGTTTAGAAGATAAAACAAGACGACAAGAGAGGTAAAAGACAATCTGGGTATTGCGGGCTTCAATGAAATCAATATATTTGTGTAAAATAATGGCATATATATGTATGTAAGATATATTCATATGTACATATATAGGAGAGAAAGAGATGTGAAACGGTTATGATAAAATATGACGACGATGATAAAGAAAACACAAGAAGCCCACATGCTTCATTCGCTTTCTAATCCAACGTCAATGTGTCGGCTTTTCGAGATTATTGTTTACTAAGATTCGGGATTAGTACGTCACAAAATCTATATTTAATTTTTAAACAATCTTCTTTTCATACTTTGTTTAATTTTCGGATTAATTAATATTATTTGATGACTTACTATGCTGCAATTACTAGTGCAAGTATCCGGAAAAAAATTCATTTTTTTTTTCGATAGAATTATATTTTCTTTTCATTTCTCGAAACCTTGTTTGTTTTTCTAAAATTTGAGATACAAGTTACATGTGTTCTCCAATTTTGAGAAGTAGAGAAAGAGTTACGGCTTGACGCCCGTCTCCATCTCCGATCACGGCTTTGATTTTCTCTTCTTTGGATTTTTATTATAAATTTTGAAATTTAATTCTAAAAATGAATTCGAACAATTGAAAAAAAAAAAAAAAAAAGAAAGAAAGAAGACAACACTGAATAAATTAAGTGAATGGGCCAGTCTCTTGTTTGTCGATCATTATTACATGGACCATTGTCCACACAATTGTGTGGATCATAAATGAATAGTACATTTTTAAGACAAATTATATTGGAAATCAGGGCGCACAATGCATTGTGCGTCCTGGTCCAAAACGATATTGTTTGATACTTTTTGCGTGTCTGCTGTTAATTTCTTAAAAAACAAAATCATGTTTCAAATGTACAGAATTGTATAATAGAATACACATAATTTAATACCTGAAAACATAGACTTTTATAACTGAATACACATGGGCCCTGTTTGGTAAAAAATTGGCCTATAGGCCAATTTTGGCTTATTTGACCACTATTAATTGTTTGATTTAGTTAAAATATCAATATAAATGTTTGGTTAATTAGCTTTTTGCAACTCCAAAAGGCTAAAATTAAAAAAGCTACTCCTAGCAACTTTTTCAATTAGCTTTTTGAGAAAAGAAATTATACCAAACAGCTATAAGCTAACAGCTAATTTACCAAACACTTTTTTACAATCAGTTAATGTTATCCAAGTATTTATACCTTCTAATTAACACAATCAGCTAACAATAAACAGCTATTAGCTAACAACCATTTTACCAAACAGGGCCATAATCTTTTTTGAAAGGATAATACACATAATCTAACATAATACATAATATACATAAACTCTTAACTCTTTAAAAAAAATCTATGTTTCGAATGTACAGAATTATATAATAGAATGCACATAATTTTATACATGAAAATACAGAATTTTATACCTGAAAACACAGAATTTTATCACTGAAAATTCCCATGTTTAGAATGTACAGAATTATATAATAAAATGCACATAATTTTATACTTGAAATTAACAAAACGACGTCATTTTGGAAGGCGCGGGACGCACATTGCTATGTGTGCCCTGGTGCACGGTATAACAATTGCATTTTTAATATACTAAAAGTACATTATTTGTGTGTTAAAGGTACATTTTTTAAAAGTACATTATTTGAATACTGAAAGTACATTACTTATATATACTATCAAATAATGTACCTTCAATTACACAAATAATATACTTTTAATATATTAAAAATGTACCTAATATTCATAATCCACACAACTATGTAAATCATGTTCCACACAATAATTTGCCCTTCTTTGGTACATTGATAGGGATGGAGCCATGGAGGATGAAATTGAGAAACAAACTTACCAAGGAGTATTTAAGTTGTACACTTCACTAGAGTTATTAAAATGCGTTTAGCGTGTGAGGCTAGCTAATTCCACAAAAGGAAACTTTTAATGTGGACCATTGTGTAGGTAGCAGCGTGGATCATGAAATATATAGAGTATATCATTTTAATTAGAGCAAATTACACTTTTGGTCCTGTGACTATTGGGGGTGTGTTAATTTGGGTACGTGACTTTTAAAAGTAACAATTTAATCCTTTGACTATCGTTTTTTTAGCAATTTAGGTCCTCCCGGCCAAATTGCCGGTTGAAATCGGCCGGAAAGATGTTTCAAATAAAAAAAATAATATAATAGCGGGGGTAATTCCGTCTTTTTAGGTGTAAAATAATTAGCGGGAAATGCAGCGGAAGTCTGTTGGAAGTCGAAGAACAAATAGCTATGTTTTCTTTCTAAAATCCTCAACCCTAATTTCTAAAATCCTCACAGTACGAGCAAGTGATTGTGAAGTCGAGGAAGGGAATCTGTATCTACGATTGCGTCGAGGGGTTGTTCGTCTTCTGCGACTGGATTCGACTTCTCAATGCGTAAAACGTCTGCCACTGGAATGGGGTCTGGCTCAACGACGCTACAGCTAAGTAAGAAAAAATTTGTTTTACAGTTGAAATTGTACGAAGTTTATGAATTTTATGCCAAATAAAGTACTTTATTGTGGAGTAGAGCATATGTAGGGTTTGTCGTGTTGTACTTGTGTCTTGGCATAAAGCATAATATAATTTGTACTTGTGTCTTGAAATTTTGGGACCAAAATCTGGATTTTTGTGTTGTTCTTTTTTGTTCTTTTGTGTTCTGTGGGTGTGACCGATCTATGGACTTTTGTGTTATTCAATTGTGTTCTGTGGGTGGGGACCATTATGTTTATAGTTTTCTGAATATGTCATGTGCATATACTGTGATTATTTAACTTTTCCATATGACTTTATTATTCTGTGTTTTGTGGGGACCACTATTATGACTGTTGAGTGTGTGAATGGTGGCTTGACAGGAGCAGGAGTTGGCCCTTTTTCAGTTTTCCTTTTCCATAATGGGATAATAAATAGGGTTGGTGAAGTTAAATACATGGGTGGTGATGTAGAAGTGTATGAAAGAATGGAAGCTAATGAAGTCTGTTTAAATGTGTTGAAGGATAGGATAAAACACTTAGGGTATAGTGAGGCAGGAACAGTACTTTATTGTTGGTGGAATGAAAGATTGAAGTTGATAAAAACAGACAATGATATAATATCCATATTGAATGAAGTCAACCCAGGTAACATGTTGGAGTTTTGGGTTGAAACACTGGATGATTTGGACTTGTTTGATGCTGACATGGTAGCAATTGAGGCAGGCAGTGATTGGGAAAATGAGATTGAGGTAGACTGTTTGGGGGTAGATCAACAGGATGATGTAGAGTTTGGGGATGGATTAAATGCAGAACAGAAGCAGGAGGATGGGGATGGGTTAAAAATGGAGGATGGTGATGGCTTAAAACAGGAGAATAAAGTACTTTCAGTTGCTGAAAAAAAGAAGTTGAAAAACAGTTGGGATGAAATAAACTTTTCTGATGAGGACTCAATTGTGGATTCTGATAGTGATGGGGAAGGTAAATGGCCCATATTTAGAGCTGCAACAGACATGAAAGATCCCCATTTTACTTTAGGCATGACTTTTGCTTCCAAACAACAGTTTAGAGAAGCAGTTCAAAACTATGCTTTCATAAATGGCAAAGAAATCAGAACACTTAAAAATGACAAGGAAAGGGTCATAGTTAAGTGTACACAGGAGGGTTGCCCTTGGAGAATAGGCTTGAGGAAAGTAATAGGCTCATTGTCATGGAGAATTTTGAACATGATAGATGAACATGAAGGGTGTTCTTGGGTTTGGGAGAATTCTATGGTCAAATCTACTGTGGTTGCTAAGAGGTGGTCTACTCACTTAAAAGACCACCCAGATTGGATGATGAGAAAGTTCAAGGATAAGGTGTGCAGTCAAGAAGGATTTTATGTGAGTGATTCCCAAGCCTATAGGGCTATTTGGAAGTCAAAGAAGCTAAGAGAAGGTGAAGAGGAAGATAACTTCAAAAACATTTGGAGATACTATGAAGAAATTTGTAAGACAAATCCTAGGTCAAGATGTATTATCAAGACCAGTGACCTGCTAGATGGGAGTGGACAAGAAAGATTTTTGAGAATATATGTTTGCTGGGACAGTAGCAAGCAAGGCTTCAAGAACTGTAGAAAATTGATAGGGGTAGATGGCTGTCACCTTAGAAGTGCAACAGGTGGGATGCTACTGACTGCTGTGACTGTAGATGCAAATGATAATATATTTCCACTAGCTTATGCTATTGTGGAAGGAGAGAAAAGAGAGTCCTGGACTTGGTTTCTAATGCTTCTGAAAGATGATCTGGAGATAAGCCCCAATGTGGAAGATGAATACTGTTTCATAAGTGACAAACAAAAGGGATTAATTCAAGCATTTGTGGAGGTGCTACCTGGTGTGGAGCACAGGTTTTGTATGAGACATTTGCATGCTAATATGAAGGTGGCAGGTTTCCATGGAAAGGCAATTAAGGATGCTGTATGGGCTTGTGCTAAGGCAACCACTGTAAACAAATTCAATGATGCTTTAAGAATATTAAGGAGATTAGATGAAGATGCATACCAATGGTTAGGTGATAAGAGCCCAAAAGAATGGTCTAGATCCCACTTCTCTACAAGATGCAAGTCTGACATGTTGGTAAATAACATTTGTGAGTCTTGGAATTCATCTATATTGGAGGCAAGGGACAAGCCAATCATTGACTGCTTAGAGTGGATTAGGAGGATGATCATGGGTAAATTGTTTGAGAACAGGCAGAAAGCAACTGAATGGAAGGGTTTGATATCTCCTAACATTGTCAAGAAGTTAAAGGTGATTGAGAAGGATGCAGCAGGTTACCAGGCCACACAATGTGATTTCTTCAAGTTTGAGGTTCAACAACTATATGGGGATCGACAACAAGTTGACTTAGAAAGACAGCAGTGTTCTTGTAGGAGGTGGGAGCTGAGTGGCATTCCATGCAAGCACGCAATCTGTGCTATTTGGAAAAAATATGGAAAGGGTGGAGTGTTGGACTATGTGCATCCATGTTATTCGAAAGAGACCTATCTGAAGATATATAG